TGTTTTTAACATGTTAGAATTAGATTAAGCCCCTGTTTGTCTACCATTAATCCAAAAAATTGTTTGCTACAGTAAGATTCTCCACCACACATTCACCCAATAAAATATTCTACACACAAACCAATAAAGTTACTTTAATTTTCAACCACACATTTTCCAAAAAATACTATTCATTACACTAATTTTCTCCCAATAATGGGAGACAAACAAGATCTAAAACCTCACCTCTAGAATTATAGAATGAATAGAAAAAACGAAATTAATTAGGCATAAATATGCGAGCAGTAAGTTATCAATTTTGCGATTCAAATATATGAAATTTGAATATTGTGTTGAGATTTTACTTAATCATGCATAACGGAATTTAAACAATTTCATTTCCCATCGAGCATGTTCTTTGTATTTTGATAGAAACCGTTACAAGAATTATACTTCTAATTAATTCTGCAAAGCTTTTGACAATCTTAAAACACATACAATCACGATCTCCACAGTACAACTGTCATATTGTTCAGTCTTCAATATTAATCCATACAAAAGAACAAGAATAAGAGAATTATGATTTTTCTTTTCTTGTGCTAACAAGACAATGAACATGTAATATGATTTCTCAAACCCTAACATCTTATTAATAGAAGTTCAAGTGGGTTTGACCCATCCATTAAACTTGACCCGATCTATGTTTAATTAATCTAGTTATTTAACCACGATTCATAAATTAATCAATCTAATTAATTAACTTCGACTCATTAATAAGCAACCAAATTAATTAATTATACAAATATTCAACACTTGTCAATTAATTAATTGGTAATATCATTTTCTAGTTTTCCTTATTGCGTACGACTCATTAGGTTTCTAATTACGATACCTAACGACGTAAATTATTATTTTGATATAATCAAAAGAAGATAAATGAAAATACCTTTGAAATTTATCATTAATTGATTTAGATTAATTAATTCACATTTGTCGTCCCAAATTGACATGTAGAAATATGTCAGGAGAATATATGTGACAAGAAGTGTCATGTGGTATAACAAAACTAAACATAGTAGGCTGACATACTGACACATTAAAGCTACAGACACTTTATTACAGACGTCCCATCAATCAGTTCTATGAGATCTTCGAATCTGTTGGGAGGCAGCGTCAATGTTAGCATATGTTGATGTCAGTTTTTGGCTTATGGACATCTGGTGCAGTTGAGCTTCGGTGCTTTAGTACTTCAGACATAAGGAGCCTTTGCATCGTAGAGAAGGGCTTTAAGCAGACCTTCATTATTTGGGCTGAAGGGGACATCGGACAAATATAGCTTCGGCATTCGCGTGACTTTGGACAGTGGCATCCTCCGTTGTCCTTGACTATGTTGACTCCCCTGTTGACTTTTCAACTGGCTCTGCGTCCACTTGGCTATAGGGAATACATGGTTGTCCACGTGGGTATGCTGTGTATGTGGCAGTCCATGTGGAGTGCTGACTTGGAGCCTCTAATTTTTGGGGGTAACAATAGTCTCCCAAGTCTATGTATGGTTATTCATGTAATGCATGGACTTTCAAATGTCATGTAATTTCTTGAAGGAAAGAGGATCTAATCTTTGTAGACCTTCCTACCAGCATCTTCCGAAGTGATTCACCTAGCGAGTTTTGTTTCTAATGTTCGAGGCGAGTGAAAGAACCGAAGTTTATAGTGCTTTTCTTTCAGAGGTTGGGAGCGTCTATCATTGACAAAGCTGCCTCGGATCGATAATTACGAGGGGCTTGCCATTTAAATGATATTTTAGAAGTACGAAGAGTCCTTAATGATGGCGCTTCAATGATTTGCCGTTGTTGGCTGTTTCCAAGGAAAGGTAATCATGGTGGTTCATTTTACAATACGCGCAACAGCCTTCATATTTAATATGCCATTATAGTTGTCTCTTCTATCACCTATTTAATTTTTAGCCACGAGAGGGCGCGTGCATCCGACGTATTGATATGGACTGTAGAATCCGAAGCATTTGGAGTGGTGTGTGGCTCCATTTTAGTCTCTAGACATACGGTTAGATAGTTTTAGACCTTGATCCATCAGCTGGGGTCGAGTTTTCCCGCCTATAAAGGAGATTGCTATCAAGAAAAAAACATTTTCCCTTTATCTCTACGCGAATTCGAATTTCTGCCTGCTAGCTTTATCTTCCCCAAAGTTTCTTCAAGTCCACAAGCCCTCTTCACATTTCACAAGCTTTTTTCCGTATCTTCTTCGAGATTTCTTTCCTTCCTTGTCAGGATATTTCTGTAAGTGTTGCGAATCTCCACTGCATTTTACAGAGAATTTCTTTTAAGTTTCCGGGTTAATGGCATCTTCCTCTTCTTCCTTTGATGATAGTGTAGGCATCGATAGGCTGGCTGTTAGGCTGGGGGGTGAATTGGCAAGTACCGTTGACCCGATTAGAGTTGTTGAAGCTAGTAGCGGTGATAACGCTTCGGGGGAAGGGTCGGAGAGTGAAGGTGAGTGAATGGCTTGGGGGGCAGCAAAAATCCCTTCTAACGCCAACCCAACCAAGCTAACTGACCTTAGGGAGAAATTTAGGATTCTTTACAATATCGAGCTACTATTCCCATCTCCTAGTGAGTGAGCCTACTACCCTAGGCAAGGGTGCGTTTCCATTAGCGAGTTCCTTCTTAAAGCGGGACTTTGTGTGCCCTTCCACTTATTCGTTTGAGTTGTCCTTAGGTTATACGAACTAGCTCCTACCCAACTTTTCCCTTATGCCTGGGCCTATTTAGTTGGGTCATACATTCTCTGGAGACAGACCTCCCTGGGCGAGGATATGCCCCTTTACGTTTTCCAAACTGTCTATCAGCCAGGTCGTTAGGCAAAGAGGACTCCAAGGGTTGGTACTCCATGTGCCCATTGTGGGACATGCTCCCTTCATAACATGCCTTCTCTCTTCCATTAAAGGGTGGAAGGGAACCTGGTTCTGGGTTCAGGGAAAGTGGCAGGAGTGTGAGGGTGACATTGTCCCCTTTGTTAAGGTTCCACCTCCTATTCCGAGCCCAGTGAGTGCCCCTACTAAGCTTTGTTTTCAACTTTCTTGCCGAGCCTTATTGCTAATGCACCGTCTTTCACTTTCTTAGACCTCGTCGATCATTTTGAGCTAGACCGAAGTCACTGAGAGATCTTATCCGACATCTATCTCCAACCCTCCTCAGTTCAACACTTCGACAATTTAGTTACTCCTCAGCGATTTTACGAAAACTTATCTCTTATGTGCTCCAGAGGTAAGCTTGACTTCTGTGATGTTTTCTCTTCACCCATGTACTTATCACCTCTTATTCGCGTCTCACTTTGTGGCATTTATGTTTGCAGAAAACTTTGTGAAGAGAAAGGTGCCTATCTCTGACATGGCTACTATCTTGGCAGCGACTTCAACTACAGGCGGCAAGGGGATGAAGGGCACGTCTGCCGGGGTGAGGCAAATAAAGTAAAGCTGGAGAGGGTCAGCAAAGAGGCTACCTCTCAGGAGGAGGGTTGACCCCCTCTACTGGATTGGGAAAAGAACGTGTTGGTGGAGGAGCCTAAGAAAAGATACCAGGTCCCGACTCCTAGTGGAGCGGGCAGCTCTAGGGATATCCCCCTCCCCATTTCGAAGTTCTCATTAGGGAGAAGCTGTTGGGTAGTTCACTGATGGCTGCCACCAGGGCCCAAAAAGGGCTTCTCAGTCTGAAGGCCAGCCACCATCCAAGAAAACCAAAGGTGCCAGTGACGACTCCATCTCCAAGGTTCCTCAAGGGAAAGCTGGCCCGGTGAGCCAAACAGGGGAGCTTGCATCTGAGGTTCTTTCCTTCCTCTCCTTGAAGTCCAAACCGCCTCCGCGACTTTCCACCGATTTTGGACCAAGAAGTGGCAGTCC